GTCGTTGTCGTTGTCGTTGTCGTTGTCGTTGTCGTTGTCGTTGTCGTTAAAATATGAGGACAAGAAGTGTGAACCCCCTCTCCCTGCCCCACCCCCGGCTCGTCTTCGTGTTGCCTTCGTTGTCGCCTTCGTTGTTGTTGTCGTTGTCGTTGTCGTCTTCGTTCTCACCTTCGCTTCATTCCCGCCGTCGTTGTTTTTGTTGTCGTTGTTGTTGTTGTTGTTGTGGTGGTTGCGGCTGTCTCTTATACACATCTAGATGTGTATAAGAGACAGCTCTCTCTCCTTTCCAAGTTGCAAAATGGGAATGTATCTTCCTGGTCTCGCGGCTGTCGCGGAAAGATACATTCCTGGTATTCATTTCTCTCTCTCTCTCTCTCTCTCTCTCTCTCTCTCTCTCTCTCTCTCTCTCTCTCTCCCCCCCCCCCCGTTTATTGTGCGGGTTCTTTCATGTCTCGTTCGTTTTTTTTGTTGTTTTTCCTTTTTTTTGGTTTTCGTGTTCTTACAAACGAAGAAAGTCCCGCTACCGGTAGCGGGAGGCTCAGCAAGGCTCGGCTTACTGGTAGTGGGAGCCTCGGCATCGATAGCTGGTCAGATGCATTCAGGTCCAGCCGTAAATAGGGTGAGATAGATGCCAGTTAGTTGTAGTGTGAGTACGCCCTGAGTCTGCCTGCACCCCGGAACATTCTTTCTCCTCTATTCCTTTCTGATGGGCCTGAGATATCATGGTGAAACTGACCGCCATAGGAAATTCAGAACTTTTTGTTCATCTAGTTCAATCTGGATTCTAACTCAGGTCTGCATTTCTACAGTTTATGGGTGTACCAACTGAGTACTCTCACAATAACTTCATTCCTTCTTTCCATCCGTTGGTCAGGTGTCTTTCCTCTTCTGGCCAACAAGATGGAGGCCCATCAATAGCGTGGTCGTTCACCCAGGTGTACAGATGGTAGATGGTAGGGAACCCAGGACGGCCGATGTTCGATCGAAGGTAAACCACGTCTATACATAGTAGTAACCCAGGTGTACACCAATGTGCACAGATGGTAAACCATGGTAAACCACTGCCCACTGCTACTCATTCCTGGGTATGGGCTGGTGAACCCCTTGGTACAATGTCTGACTTTCTAGCAATGGCACTGCAAACGCCTGCTGTTCCCCCATCTCCCCCCTCCTCCCTCTAGAGGCAGCAGAAGGCCCTACCTACCGTCTTCCCGGATTAGAACCGACCGTCATTATAGCTGTAGTTGGGCCAACTTTCATTCTGCATACAGCAGTAATGACTGCGATGACTGCACCTTCTATCCCGGGGAAGGCTAGAGCTATGTTACGGAAGGGGCCTTGAGAAACTGAGAAAAATAAACACAGGAATAAATGATCAGAAGAAGATGATAAGAGCATTAATATCATGGTGCCCCCTCAATCTGAGTGGCGCTAGAGTGGAAGGATTGAGAACTCGGTGGTGTGTGTGATACCGGGCGGGTGAAGCAGGGAGGAATTTAGAACATTGTTTACTGGAGCGAGGCCCTGATAGAGCATCCACTACTGAGGGGCTGTAACGCTGGCAAGTCACCTAGGCGAGTAGAACTGCCGAACTGTATCTGGAAAGCGGGAAAGGGACAGAAAGCCACCCCCGGGTGAACGAGGGACGCAAAGGGCAGAAATCGGCAAAAAGAGGGAGTTTGTGGCAGACTGTGTCATCGGTCTCACGCGCTCATCCTGGGGCTGAATCCTCAGCAGTCTGCAGCATCCCCTGCTGAGGCTTCAAGGCATGATTTTCAGTGACCCAGTCGCAGGCGGCGCAAGACATCCAAACCATGCCCTCCAGGCTCGAACTTACCTCGAGATCGATTCCTCTCCCCCCCCCCACCTCCCTTCTCGAGATGGATACTCGACGACTCCAGAACTGTAAACCAGGGTTTGTACCTACTCCTCAATTCACATACTGGAATAACCATGGGGATAACTGCTGTGCTGGGTCTTTCTCTTTCTCCTTCTTTGCTTTTGTGACCACTACAAGCGCTTCAGAAAGACCAACGGTGGCTCGTTAGGGATGAAGAATTTCACTCACTCCTCCTTGGCTTTCGTTTGCCAGTGGTTGGTGGGCTCCTTTTTCTCTCTCCTTTTCTGGGAAGAGCGCTTTTACTGCAGCGCTCGTCTGTGTGTGGCCCATGGTCATTCGCTGGCTGCACAATTGCCTGTTTTTGTTGTTTTTGTTGTTTTTGTTGTTGTTGTCCCCCCCCCTCCCTGCCCCACCCTAATTGATCAATCAATTAAGTTGATTTATTTCGTTAACTGATTTGTTCTAAGTGGCTCAGCCGCAGATGCATGGGTACGACTGTGGCAGTGCGAAGGCTTACCTGTGGCCCTGCCTATTTGTTTTTTCCTAAATATCTAGCATTTATGCAACAATGAAACATTGTTGTTGTGCATTTACTATGTATTCATTTTTCACTATTTTAGTATTTTTAGATTTAGATTACTATAATCACTAATCAATTGAACATCTTTGTCGTGTATTCGTGCATGTGATTCAGGACCAGTTGTCATTTCCTGTCTGTCAATGATGATGATGATGATGATGATGGTGACAATGAAGATGAGAATCGATGTTGCTCCTGCAAGCGATAGTGATATGGTCGGCGATCCATCGCTGCTTCAAGCTCAAGGGTTGCCCATTGGGAACCTGGATTTATAATTAATCGGGAGTTAATCGGGGGTTACTCGACTCGACTCAACTCTAGTCATAAGTTCTGAAGGTCACCCATTGTTGGGGACCTGGGTTTTATATAACTTTGAAGTTTGAACTGAATTGGGGTCTAGTTGACTCACGTCAAGCCGAGTCGTAATTGACAAGGGTTACCCATTTTGGGCCTGGATAGGCTGGGTTTATAATTAACTGGGGAAGTTAGTGGACTCAAGTCAAGCTGAGTCATGATTTATAAGGATTATCCATTGTAGACCTGGGTTTATATTTATAATTAATTGGGGGTTACTTGACTCAAGCTGAGGACTCATAATGACTAACAATAGAAATCGTTATAGAGAACTGCCCGGTGAACCACAGGCAGAGAGGGACAGGTGGACAACAAATGAGGGGCTGTGACAAATTGTTTCGGCGCAGTTTGACCAACTCATCAGGTTGCCGAACCCTAAATAAATAGTTATGGTTCATAAATTGTCTGCACTCAGCTTTGTCTTTTGATGCAGCGCTCATTCCGTGGACCTGGATTTATTCCGCCATTGTCGCGAAGAGCCTGTTTCTCCTGTACCTAAAAGGTATTCCACATCTCTGGCCAGAGGGTCAGGCTTGGCAGGTGCCATCAGGCACTGTTAAGGATTTTTTTTTTCTTCCTTTCTTTACCCCTTATTGAAGTTTATTCTTTTTTGTTCCCTCGGTTGTGGTTTTGAAGGAGGATGGTAGATGGGGCCATTGGGGGTTATCTCAAAGGAGGTTATTTAAAAGTGGGGGTTATTTAAAAGTCATTGGTAAACAGGAAGGGGATAGAACAGAAAAGACTTTGTTTGGTAGACAGTAGCATTCTGCAGCAGGCAATTATGAATACCATGTGCGGCTCGGCGGTTCAGCTGCACAATTCTTATTACCTTGGAGCCAGAGGCTGGGAACTTTATTGTAGTGACAATCGAAATAGGTCTTCGGTGAGGCAGCCTCGTGGCAGGTCAGGTGTTCGAAGACTGCACCCTGCTTCTCTTTTAAGGTGGCATTACGGCTGCAATTCAGCTGATGATGTTGTGAGGGGTGCAAATACTCAAAAGAATAATTCACTGATGTGTTCACTCGATCAACGCAAGTGGCGGAAAGGGGAAGACAGCTCTACATGGCTGTGCAGATCTAGCACGCAGGTTGATGGTCTTACAAGTGTGTCGGGTTGGGATGAGCAAGGGGGAGCTGTTGTGGAGGAAGCAGTCAAGGAGTTGACGACGGGGAATGTCGGAGTCGTTATCAATAAAACTGGTCTTAATTCGCGGCGTGTGGTTGCAAAAGTGCATGTCCAAGCCCCCTTGCGCACGGTCTGGGACATCTTGACAGACTACAGCCGACTAGGGGAATTCTTCCCCAATCTCGCCGTGAATGAGCTGTTGGAACTACGACCAAAGGGTGCCCGTTTGCTGCAGGTATGGCGCTCACACCGCCTTTCACTGCCCTCCCTCCCTCCCTCTCCCCAACTCTCTCTCTCTCTGTCTGTCTCCCTCTCTCTGTGTGTCTGTGTCCCTCTCTCTCTCTGTATGCGTTTCTCTCTCTCTCTCTCTCTCTCTCTCTCTCTCTCTCTCTCTCTCTCTCTCTCTCTCTCTCTCTCTCTCTCTC